TGTTGAAATGTGTACAAATTTATCGTGATTAAAGGACCGTCTTCACGATGGATTCTGATTATAACTACATCACATCAACTAGAAATTAACGAGTTATCTTACGTACCAAAAATGATAAAAACAATGCCGAAGTTGAGTACACACGTAGTTTTAAATACTTTGTGCAACACGTCAAGCGAAATACTGTTGACCATGCAAAAGTGTAGATTAGACGATCATCTATTGTTTAATATTAGTTCGTGATTGACCTTCGATTTGATTACTTAAATTCTTGTCGTGTTAGTTGTCTACCGTTTTTTTATTCTTTGACTCCTGATTATAATCTGCTAAAACAAGAGATGCGATTAAAGTAGTGACCAATTATGGTGTTCACGTATCTTAATATCCATACAAGTTTGTCGAGTTTAATTACAAATTCGCCAAGATGGAGCTTGGTTTGTTGTTTTGCACAATAATTCGCAAATATGTTAACAATATTTCCTCGTTAATAGTTTATGAGTTGATTTATTGTCGTATGTTTGTAAGGTGACAGCCGCTGAATGTCAGGATGGCGACACTCAAGAATAACAAGGCGTTAGGATTGTATTTACTTACAGCCACAATTCACTGCACATTTTAATGAGGATAAGTGTCGTTTTTTATGTTGTCCAGCAGAAAAATGGACAAGTATCGTATTTCTAGATATGTATTGTCCGTACGGCATCATGTATGCATGTATGTACATAAATACACTTACAATGGAGGTCTCCGAGCGCATGATCTCCAAGCTTTACCAAATTAGTTTCAGTCGATCACAAATTTAATTGATATGACATTTTCAAAAGACGATCTCAGGTTTGATACAGATGTGTGCATCCAAAGAGGAGTAAATGCGCAATTGAAAAGTGTAAAATTTGTCGACTTTAAGCCACGTTTTCTCCTCTTTGCAAACCTGTATATTGGGAGATCATGTATTTTACAAATTTCATATTAATTAAATTTGTGATCGATTGATACTAATCTTGCCAAGATCGGAAAGCATCCGCTGGGAGACCTCCATTGTTAGAATGGTGGACTGGCCTTAAGGCCATCCCAGCAACGGTAGCTCCTTTAAACTAATAGCATCACGTATTTACTGTGTCCAAACTCAGAAAATAACGCATTGTTCCGTACCAATTTGTCAGCGTACAATACGATCGGTCAAATGGTCAAACGTGACAAAAGTGTCAAGTGAAAGCTCAAGTTTAGCACAAAATTCAGAAGGACGATGAAATATAATACAATTTTAGTGTGACTGGCTCACAATAAAAGTGAATTTCCACCCCATTAAGAATAGCAACTAATTCCATCATACAACTGGACAGCAAGTGGTGTCATTTACAATCCTGTCGAAATTATTATACATATTTACGACGCCTCAAATTGTATCTTTTGAGGTTATACGAAGGCGAGGTGTTCACCATTGAGGACATTTTACACTCGTCGGTTCACTGCCCACCTTGCATAATTCTTTTTAACTGCCAATTTATTATTCCACTTGACGACGACGACTGCAGTTTTAGACTGGTTGGTTGACACCTGAGTCTTCCTTGCGTACATATTTTCATGTGCGGTAGGATGAAGAAGTAGATTTTTTTAAGGAAGTCGTTACCAACCATGTCCACCATTACGAAGGAGCGATCTTGTGTGTTTGATTTTGCGGTGGTCACCTTTTTCATTCATCTCTTCAACCCTGGGAACAACAAAATGAGGAATTAAAGACCTGAAATAATTCATGATTACTGGTTCAGCGCATTTGTCCGTCCGGCCTGTGAAACAATTTATCCTGTTAAAACGTAAATGCCTCCTCGTTAAGGCCGGCGAGTGAGAAGTGAACTATTTATTATGCTTTGTTATTTCGTGGTATTATTGTATCTGCATTACATAAAAGTGGACGTGGACGACGCGAGTGGAAGTGGACGACGTAAGCAGAGCAGGTTTAAATTACCTAATCTAATCCGGATTTGGTTATTCTGATCTCAACTCCGATATGAAGTGATACATGTTCACGCAATTTCAAAATTAAGTGAGGACTCGAAACTTCTCCGAGATTGTGGGATGGATATGAAATCTTGATTTTTGTGTGCGAATCCTGTAAAAAAAATTTTTGATGGAGAGGAAATTCACATTTTTTTGCAGAGTTATTCCCAATAAATCAAATTATTGGTGAAAGAAGCAACCACAAGAAAAATTATTGTGATTCTCTTCGTGCCGTGAATGAGAGTACTCTGATTAAACTAGTAACTAAAGTTCGGTCCAGAGCGTAGACGTATAAGTTGTTTTGTTCCAGTCATTGTTGGATCCACTGACAAGATCGATGTGACATCGACATGCAATCCAGAATCTGATTGTGAATGTCGTGCAGCGAGATGCAGAGTTTCTTTTTGTTTCGAAAGTAGCAGATGAGCAGGGACGAAATTGTCCATCGTGCCGAGACTTTCTTGGGTAGATTATTCTTCAGAAAGCTTGAAATATATGTCTAGCATTCTTTCTGAATCTCTTTGTAAATGTGTTTCCTCGATTCCTATTCAAACGTATTTCGATACGTTGTGAATTGTGCTGCTACAAATTTCCACATTTCCGTGGATTACTTTTACAGCAGAAATTACTAAGCAATTCTTTAGCAAAGTAGTGCATCGACATTGTTTGTTGCTTGACTGACTGGCATGTTAAAAATAGCTCAGGATAGATAATTCCTCCCATCAATAAGTTGAGGCTCATGCATGTTTCTTTTTCATGTCCTGTCAACCCCACTCAACAAAAGACGACAAACGATTCTTTGTTGCAACAATGGGCACTTACACTTCTTACAACTTTACATGTTTCCTCAATTTGAGCTGCATTAGCGTCAATTTCAACTTTGCTCCGATTTCCTTACACACCATGTCACGTCACTCGTCAGATCGTGGATTATTCAGGTTTCGGCTTAAAAATAGTCCAATAAAAAGTGTGTCCACTAAGTAAATATGCATGTACAAAACAACGAGATCCTTAGTGTTAAGTTATTGAACTCTCCTAGACAGATAAATGACTTGGTTTAATTATTCAAGCAGAGTACAACAAGACAATCGTCTCAAGATTTATCCATCCATACAAAAAAGTTGACTTGTTTGAATTTGATTCGCCATTATCTCTCACTGACAAAAACTAGTTGAACTGAACCGAATTAAATAAGTGAATATAATAATGACTGACCGTAAACATTAAATATTGAGGGCAGGTTAGTTAAGTTTCGGCATAAAAAAACTACCGTAAATCTGTGTCTGATATTTTGATAATGTGGTTATTTGGAACACATAAAATATAAATAAATAAAATAATACTTAATTGAAATGAATAATTTGCACTGTCTTAAATCAGAAAATGGGCTCATTATGGGCTTACTTTATTTTTTCATGCATACTTATTTGGATTACGTAAGGTATTGCATAGCTCGATTTTTTTGCGGAATGCAGTATTATAAAGCTATTCAATTTGCCTTTTGATGCGTACAGATACATAATGCATGTACACAGATAATGATGATCTTGAACAATATGAAAGCAATATTCCTCGAACAAAGAACAACGAACTGCGACGATATGGATTGGATGAAGTAGGGAAAAAGTGAACAAATTCAATAGAATTCTGAAAAATTTTCACTCAACTACTTATCTAGTCCTTGGAGCAGAGAAGAAGAAGAATAAGAATCATGTTAGGGAAACTGCAAAAAGTAATTTAAGAAGATGACGCTTATGGCATTTTTTCCATTCTATCGTCATCCGAAGAATTTATTGCTTACCATTAATTTAATGGGGAATTTAGAGGGAGGAGGAGGCAAAGAAAATAAAAGTTGCAAGGTACATAAGTATAAAGGACATAAGTAATCAGAGGTTGTTGGTGTTTTTTTTAAATTTTTGTATTATTTTTTACCTTAAAGTTGTTAAATCTTAGCTAAGTTTTATCAAAATCAACGGAGTACTTGTTTTTCTCGTAATTTTGTAAAGTTCCTTCTGGAAAATTGATTAATTTGCATACATATACATCCGTAGAAGATCATAGGTTCTTTATAATTCATGACAAATGAGTAATTTTTGGAGGAGGTGGAGCTTTTTGTTTGCAGTTATGCACGTACAAAGCCAGTCCATCTCTCACCTTGCCAAACCTTGTCCATATTTGGACCGGGTCACCTCATCTCAGAAAAAACAACCACGTCCATCATGTCACTGACTCTGCTGCATCTTATTGGTTTCCTTTCTAACCTCGCTTTTATTTCGAGACAAGATTAATACGTTTCACACTCACGCAAACTCTTTTTTTTCTTGCCCTTTCCACCATCAGGCAGGATTGTACTTAAGTGAGGTGTGTGTAATGTGGTGGTTGTACTAAAAATCTAAAAAGTTTTGCAATTCGTTAACCAACAATCCCGACCCTTCTTCATGAAAAGGTTGCATGCTGTAGACCAAAGTGTGAAATTAGCTATAAACTCGGATTTTAATGTTTGTGGCAATAATGGCCAACTTTTGAGTGAGTTGTTTTCCGCAGAATTGCTCGCGGGATGGGGAGGGAGGAGGATGGGAGGAGAACGCTTTCAAACAACTGGAATAAAATTATCCTCTTTTTTGTGAAAGGATATTTTAAATGTTTAAACGTTTAAAACGTTTAAAATCCTGCGAGATTTGAACCCATAAATATTTCAGATTAATTAATATTTCCTCATAATTCTTTAAATTACAGAATTTTAAAACCAGAAACCTGCGATAAAATGTAGTACCCACGTATTTATGCCCACTTTTAACCCTTTCTTCTTACTTGTACTCTCATGCATAAAGCCATTTTAGTTAGTAGAACAACGTGTAGGAGTTGCAGAAGAATGATGGTTTGTTGGTTCTTCTTCTTCTTTAGCTTGGTGGTAATAAAGCAGTACCTGTTGCCTTCGTACTCGTCGTAGTATTATTACCAGGACGTACATAACAGCAGCATACACCAACACAAGCTAGAAAACTACTACCAGTCCACATTTGGTTCTTGAAGGGAGAGGATTGGATTGCTTTTTTAGACGCCTGACTTGCTTGCACTGCTGCATGCTATCAGTCCAAATCAAGCACAAGATCACATTAAATTCCATTGTCTCACAGTATCAACCCGTGTTTTTGTTTTGTTATTTCTTGTGTTTAATAAGTGGTGTTCAATACATAGATAAATCCGGTCTTGTAAAAGTACCTCAATCAAACAAGAGAAAGTCGTCTGTCTTACATATTTTTGCCGGAAATCGTGTTCTTTTTTTAGTTCTTCTAATTATTGGAAGTGTGTGAATTGTCGTTGGAAGTCGGAGTATAAATAAAAATATGGCATAGTTTAATGGAATGAACTTCGAAACGAGTGCATGCGAAGATAATAAAAAAAATATTAAGTGATGCTGAAGAGAAGAAGTACCAAAATGGGTGTAATGATGCAATTTACATACTCGGCTTATTGGATTGGATTTGTCCTTGTTGGATTGTGTGGTGCGAAAGGTAAGAGAAGAGAGATATGTAGATAGATAAGTGGCATATGCATTATTTTCATGATACATGCATTATTTTGAAGTCAGATACTTATTTCTGTGTAAAAAAGCTCATGAATAATAGTTTAATTCACACACGACAAGGTTCTACAAACTAGAATAGTTTTTCTGCTGTTGAGTGACGTATCCAGATCATTTCTTTAGATTATAATTAGTGTACCTTCTACTCCTGTATGCGTACTTACTAACAGTGCAAATTGCTTCCAGCAAGTCAAGGCGACTTCCGTAATATGTATGCAGAAGACACGCGAATATATATGAATATTATGCATTTTACGATACATTTATTGTGTAGGAGGCAGTTAGATTGACAAGGTTGTAGAAGATGAAGTAGCGAAAATAGTAATTAGCAATTTTTTCATGAGTCTGTAAGATGAGAAATACGTAATAATTGCTATTTGAAGAACTTGCCATTGTATGTATTTTGTCCTACCAAAACTGATTGATTATTGGTGTATCGAATTAAATAAAGATTCAAATGCTGTCAAATATAATACGCGATTAATAAGCAAAAGCTGACAATGACGGATAATACCACACACAAAAGTAGGCACTTGCTAAAAGGACATTCTTCACGGGGTCTGATTCAGCTCAAGGTGGTGGCTTGTTTCGTCGTGGCGTTGCTTATTTATGTATTTCTTATGAAAATTCATGCAAAAAAGTGCAAAATAAAGTTACTACAGTAAACAGCTACGAAGAGTAAGTGAATATACCTTCGTATTTCAAGCTCTCAGTTAATTACCAAATTTTTGCGTTTTGTGACAAAAATTAGTTTAAAACTCGTCTTGGATTTTTACTTGAATTTGGTCGGATGAGTTTTAGAAAATGCAACTCATCCATTTTTATTGTTTCATTTGCTTGATTTTATTTTAGTTGGCTTGATTTAAGTTAATATTGCAGAATTATATTGCACCTTTTTTTATACGCAGTGAAGGAATGATATTAAATTCCTGCATATATAATTTTTAGCTACTGACTCACAAACATCGATAGAAAAGTACATACGCCATTGAATGAATCCTAGTTAAAAAATTAATGGTAGGATAGATAGCTCAAATTTATAATAATTACGAGTTCCTTGTGCATACACAGAATAAAGAAACGGCAATTATTTCATTATTACGAAATAAATTCCTGAACAGACTTTTTTTTACGTGAGGTTATACCTTGGCAGCATAATGGAGAAGGAGAGGATGAGGTGAACTAACAATACCGATTTAAATCAAGATTCTATTATGTCGCCCATCTTATCTCTGTACACATTCAGAATGATTTTGTATTATTAGCATTCTACTAAAACTCTCACTTCCCATTTACTTGTTTAATCAGGGATGACGACGGAATGGACATTCATTAAATTAATTAATACTCTTTTGTCTAATCCAATCTTTGCTTAAGAAATCAGTCCTATTTGTTTAGAATGCCTTATTGAAAATTTCTCGAAGCGAAGGACTCTCTGCTTGTACAAAGTACCGACGTATCTATCTATTAATGCATCGAACAATATATTTAGCACACAATTCCTGTGTCACCGATCTATTCTACGTAAGTAGTAGGAAGAACTGAAAGTGAAGTGGTACACAAATTGGCATCATTAAAAATATGGTATGTCAGTCAAGCAGATTGGAAGTGATTGCGATGATATGACAAATAAATTACACTCCTCTTAGCAAACTTGGATTTGTCTAATGAGAGGAAAAAATGTTTTGCATGTGCGAAATGAAAATCAAGAAATGCGTTGCCTCTTCTTCGATATTATTCCATGGTGCAATGCATGCACCATTTTTTCATGGGTTGGTTATTAGTCCAAAACAAAACGTAAATTGTTACGGCAGAACACAGAGCGAAATAATCCAAAATTATCGGAAACAATTCCACGAGCACTTTTTTAATGAAATTTTTGCGTACTCCGAGTTGTTGAGGGTGAAGGCCAAACATATAAAAAAATTGACGAGCCACGCCCACTTTGGGTGTGGTTTTTTCCTGGTAGGGTTAGAGCCAAATGGCATATCAAAAGTTGTAGCTCATGCGATGGTACATCTGCAGTAAAAATTTCATCTAAATCCGTTCACAAACAACAAAGATATCCAGTGGCGAAACTCGGCGACAGTCAAAATGCGACGACTTTAGGGGCGTGGTTCTCCGAAAGGGGCAAGTACAATACTCTGAAAATTATTGTAAATTGTAGTCCCCACTGATCTTAACGAATTCCAAGAAAAACGGAGATCTTGATTCTGCCCCTTTCCAAGCTATAAGCCCGGGAACATTGGGAACATTCATGGCGAAATTGTCCAAAAAGGGTGAAATTTGACATGTCGTATGGCAGTAAAAATCGATATCTAGCTTCAGCCAGGTCTAAAAAGTGCGTCGCAGGTGAAATTGACCCATGTCGTCAGGGAAGCATGTCGACGTGTCGAAATTTCGACATGGAGCTAGAGAGGTGAAATTTAAAACTAATACTCCCCTGCCCTCCAAACTACATATGCAAACACTTTTGATCATGTCGACACGCCATTTCGATAGAAATCGACCTTTTAATGTCCAACTCTAGCTCCATGTCGAAATTTCGACACGTCGACATGCTTCCCTGACGACATGGGTCAATTTCACCTGCGACGCACTTTTTAGACCTGGCTGAAGCTAGATATCGATTTTTACTGCGATACGACATGTCAAATTTCACCCTTTTTGGACAATTTCGCCATGAATGTTCCCAATGTTCCCGGGCTTATAGCTTGGAAAGGGGCAGAATCAAGATCTCCGTTTTTCTTGGAATTCGTTAAGATCAGTGGGGACTACAATTTACAATAATTTTCAGAGTATTGTACTTGCCCCTTTCGGAGAACCACGCCCCTAAAGTCGTCGCATTTTGACTGTCGCCGAGTTTCGCCATTGGATATCTTTGTTGTTTGTGAACGGATTTAGATGAAATTTTTACTGCAGATGTACCATCGCATGAGCTACAACTTTTGATATGCCATTTGGCTCTAACCCTACCAGGAAAAAACCACACCCAAAGTGGGCGTGGCTCGTCAATTTTTTTATATGTTTGGCCTTCACCCTCAACAACTCGGAGTACGCAAAAATTTCATTAAAAAAGTGCTCGTGGAATTGTTTCCGATAATTTTGGATTATTTCGCTCTGTGCAGAAGAGGCAGAGTGTTAAGTAGTTTTTACTTTTTGGGGACGAAAGCATGTCCAAGTTTGAAATGCAGTATTGCATTGAATTGCAGCACCACTACTACCATTTGCATGAGCAAACAAACAGGTATTGCGCAACGAAAGGTGATTTGTTTTGCCTTGAAATTAGCGACTGAGTGAGTGGCCCCATACCAAGTTAACTGATCTCATTCGGTCCGTGGGTGGTAGACTTAGGTACGTGTGACGCTCAGGCTCAGAGTGTAACAAATGTGGTTGGGGGTCGATGTGTTCATGTGAAGAATCCAATTTACTTGCGAATTTTCAATTTGTTTATTTAGCAAATTGTGAAATCGAAATGAAAACCGCTTATTACTTGAGGTAGGATTAATGGCACATGCTGACAGGTTATCGTCATTTTCATGACGGTATAAATCGCTCAGGTTCAATTTTCTGTAAACGAGGAGACAAAGGTGAAGAAGAACAAATTTGCGATTTTTTAACAGTTTAATCTTGACAATAAAATGAAATCTTATTAATTCTCTGCTATCTATTTTAGAGATAAATAGTTTTATAGATAACGCCACTTTGTTTTAATGCCACATAAAATGACGTCTTATAAAATATTCTCACTGCAACAGTTACACAATGCTGCATAGATAAACTTCTGCAGTTCTGCAGTAATTGCTCCCAGGTGTAAATGCACACTACGGTTTTATTACCACCAAGTAGACCGAATTGGATCACTTTTTAACATCCACGTCTGCGGTTTTTCTCCGTCTCAATTTCTTCTAAGCTTCTTATTATTTAGTGCACTTTGTACATAATTGTGCCAAAAGTGTAACGTGTAAAAAATGATGGATGATGCTGCTGTAGGGATCGAACATTGTTAGGAAGGTGTGACTGACTGACTGCTTGAATTAAAAGTAATTACTTAAAAACAAACAATTAAGCAACCCATTACATCAGCTAAGCCCAAACCTTAAAAATAATGCCTATGCAGTATGCGCCACGTGAATAAAAACCACCGTTTTTGGCATAAAGTTCTCATGTACGCATTAAGCAGATTGTATCTCGGCATTTAACGTATGCCAATGTGAATTACCCTTTGAGACAGTTAACTCCCCAGGTTGATGATAACAGCTGAAATTAAAGGGTACGTATGAGGAAAATGTTATGCAACAGTTGTAAAACTGCTGTTACCAATAAATCTAAATGCCAAATCTGAGATATATCTGTTTACAATTCCGGTTGTGTTCTTACCCGTTGAGTTTTGTACTAAAGTTTGATAAATGTGGTGGTTGGTGGTGGTATTTTTATCGGGTAATAAAATAAGTGTACATAAATACGGATGTACATATTACACCTTCTTTTTTCAACAGCTTGTATAATTTTTTGCACTTGCTTTTACTTAAAAAAATGCGTAGCGTATCAAATTAAACCTGTGGATTCTTTTAATTTTAAATTTTTTTTACAAAATTTGGTAAATTCCCTGAATTGATTAAGTGTGAATTGAATGCATCGACTGTAATTCCGGTGGATTGGATTTTTGCTTTCATCGCATGAATTCAATTCACTGTTATAACTCCAATATGACGCTGTTCAAGAGTTTGTGTTCCGTTAAAGAAAATGTGCGAAAAATGAATTAAAGTCTGTAATGACTCGGTGCTTAATCGATCTTAAATCCTTCTCCGAGTTAATTATTGTATGGTTTAGAAAGAAATTGGGAGTAGCAAACAAAGCCAAGCAGACATATTTGGAACTTGATACGTACTTTGCAGATGATGTAGAGGTAGAAAAAAATGGTCCTGC